CCACTACTGCAGGGCAGTGCCCAGTCACCAACTATTTTGAGGGAGAAAAACACGCACTCTGTACAGTCACGTGCATTCTCACTAGAGTGAAAGCAGCCCTCAGGCAAACTTGAAGATAACTAAGGGCTACTGATGGAAAGCTCTGGGCAGTCACTAGAAGAGCACCAAACCAAAAGCAATGCTCACCAGAGGCAGACTCCATGTGCGCCCCGTTGACTTTCAGGGGCGTTAAGACAACACGTGGCAGCATTACACCAGTCTTTTTCTTTTGTTTGGTTGTCTGCAGTCCAGAAAGAAACCAAAAACAAAACAAAGGAACAAAGACATTTCAGAGAGGTAAAATAACCTTCTAAGCAGCACATTCCTCAGTTAAAGAACCACCTCGCTCCTGGGTAAACCTTCAGGTGTTGTTACCTTTATGAATAGCAGAGAATTCAAAATGACTTTCCTGTACACGATCCCTCCCCATACTGCAAACTCCTCACCTAAGGAGACAGCCCCATAACCCTCTCTGAGGCACCTGTGCACAACCAGGGCCTGCCACACTCGCCCAGCCATCACACAGTAATGAAAGTCCCCCTTGAGAGGCTTCACACCACCCCTCAGTCCCACTTTCCCCTACCTGGGAGGCAGTTCTGTAGCTCTCCCTGGTAGCAGCAGGTCCCTTGCTCTGAGATTCAGTGGAACAGGAGGCGTTAGAGGAGGTTTCATCAAGAGACACTGAAAGAGATGGGCACTCAGTCAGACACAGAAGTAGATCCTATAGTCTAAGGTCAATGTCATTAGACACTTACCATCGTTGTCACCACTCACAGTGCTTGCTTCATTGGACTCGCAACTCTCTGCGTCTGCTGTATCCTCCAGCTCCTCTCCTTCCGGCACAGACAGGTTCCGAGACCACTGCAAGGCATCCTTCTAAACGGGCAAACAGAACTGGGATGGCTACAGGCCTCCCTCCCAAGCACTGCAACTTACACCAATGGGAACAGATGGTTTAGTGGAGATAGTTGGTAAGCTTAATTTTTTTTCATCTTTCCTATGCTAATCCTTGAGGCAGAAAGATATTTTTAAGTACATTTGGGCTCGTAGCGGAACAGAAGTCACCTACACTATCGGCACACCTCATAGACACCTCCCAGACAACCAACTCAAACATATCCAAAATACAGAAGGTTAATAATTTGTCACACTCTTCTGCAAGCAAGCAGTTTCTAACAAAGAGAAATATCTCATTCCTACTGCAAAAGAACAGGCAGCACAGAGCAGCCAACTACTACAATAGTAAGCTTAGGAGATGTATTTACTACTCGTATAATCAAAGTTATTTCAATTCCATCTGTTTTCAGCAGAATATGGCAACTCAACACAATTTTCTGACAGCAGGAAAAAAAGATGCAAATAAATAGCTGAGATACCTGTTGTCTATCAAGCTGGTATTTATCAGGGAATCCAACAATACAAAACAATGCAAAAGAAAAGCCTAAGACCAGAAACTCCGGGGTGATCTTATAGCAGCCTTCCAGTACTTAAAGGGGCTACAGGAAAGCTGGGGAGGGGCTTTCTACAAGAGCGTGTAGTGACAGGACACGGGGCAATGGCTTTAAACTGAAAGAGGGGAGATTTCGATGGGATCTAAGGAAGAAATTCTTCCCTCTGAGGATGGTGAGGCACTGGCACAGGTTGCCCAGAGAAGTTGTGGCTGCCCATCCCTGGCAGTGTTCAAGGCCAGGCTGGATGGGGCTTGGAGCAACCTGGTGTGGTGGAGGGTGTCCCTGCCCATGGCAGGGGGTTGGAACTAGATGATCTTTGAAGTCCCTTCCAACCCAAACCATTCCATGATTCTAAACATTTTCAACATTTAAGACTACTGGGACAATGAACTAAAAATAAACAACATTCCAAAGAGACCTCACGGTCTGAGGAAAACGGTGACGCCACATACACACGGAACGCAGCAGAACACACAACAACCAACCAGAAGAATGAATGTACAACCTCCTGTCGAGATTTTACGTGTAGCTACGAGCTCTCAGACCAATTTAATTTAGTGACTGGCTGTGTTCCCTGATGGCTGGCAGAACGGGAGTGAATGGGACTGTTTCAATAAGCGGCCACCTGAGCTGGACACCGAGTGCTGGAATAAGAGGATTTCTCTTGCTTGTGTGAGTCAAGAAATAATAGGGTTTTTTAAAAGGAATTTATCATATTAGCATGGCCAGCAGGTCGAGGGAGGTGATTCTCCCCCTCTACTCTGCCCTCGTGAGACCTCACTTGGGAGTATTGCGTCCAGTTCTGGAGTCCCCAACATAAGAAGGACATGGACCAGTTGGAGAGGGTCCAGAGGAGGGCCACGAAGATGATAAGAGGGCTGGAGCACCTTTCCTATGAGGACAGGCTGAAAGAGTTGGGGCTGTTCAGCCTGGAGAAGAGGAGGCTCCAGGGTGACCTTATAGTGGTCTTCCAGTACCTCAAGAGGGCCTACAGGAAAGATGGGGAGAGGCTGTTCAGGAGGGCCAGTTGTGATAGGACAAGGGGTAATGGTTTTAAAATAGAGGGAGGTAGATTCAGGTTGGATATTAGGAAAAAATTTTTTACCATGAGAGTTGCAGAACACTGGAACAGGTTGCCCAGAGAGGTGGTGGATGCTCCATCCCTGGAGACGTTCAAGGCCAGGTTGGACGAGGCCCTGAGCAACCTGATCTAGTTGGAGATGTCCCTGTTCCTTGCAGGGGGGTTGGACTAGATGGCCTTTGAAGGTCCCTTCCAGCCCTAACCATTCTATGTATGACTGAACACAGCTGAAAGGTACAAGCTCTAATGAACCACGGAATTCCAGACACTCTTCCACAGGAGGATCCCACGCGCAGCACGGTCAGCTCACGCAACGCTCCGTGGCAGTTTCACGCTCAGCTGTGAGTGCTGTGACACGACACGCAGGGCTCGGCGCTCACCTTCAGCGTGAACAGGCTGATGCGTCCAGGCAGCTTGTAGAAGAGCCCGTCGCCTCCCCTGGAGTTGGAGTGGAGCATGGCGTTGAGGCAGGCGAGCGGAGAAGTGCCACTGCAACACAGGCAGACAGAAAACGGCGAGTTTTAAGAGATTCTGACCAAGAAAACAGCCCAAGACCTGTTTAAACGGGCACCTTTTGGGTGGCTGAGGGGAACGGAGACGATGCTCGTTAGCTTTACGGGACACACGTTCCGTCAGAACAGCATCACTGTTCTCCTTTTCGACCCGTGCCTCAGCCTCAACACATCCCAGCAAAGCAGCTGGCAGAAAACAGGAAACGTCATGCCAGTTTTGAAGTCACTCTCAGCCATTTTTAGACATTTCTAACTTTTATTACCTGTTTCTTCCTTTTCTCTGCTTGAAGCTTGCAGAGTTGGATCGATTTTACAAAAAAAAAAAACCCCAAATTTATTCAGCAGTAGAAAGACATAAACTGTACAGATACGTGTTTCTGCAACGTCTTCCCAGACAGGTCACAGACAAAACTGGACCAGTGCACTAAAAGGCCTGATGCACTAATTTGTCAAGTCCTACGTAACTCCCTGGTTAAAGCAACCATCCTACGCTCCCACTGGGGAACTTCCGTGCCACATAATCTCATGTTTTCCAATCAGTCACACATGCACAGGCAGAAAGTTACCTGGAAGAGACATTAAAGCTGTATCGATTTCCTTATTATTAAAAGTGAAACTGAAAACTGGATGGAGACAAAATATTTCAAAGAAAATAATTCTCAAATTGAAAACTTAGAACGATTTCTGTTTCCACCCTGAGCATGCTTGGTTTTTGGACATTTCTCCACAAGCCTTGGCAACAGACAAAATTACCCTGTCTCACTTTTAGATGTTATGAAATAAAATTTTCAGCCTTCTGTCCTGTTAGACAGTGTTTTCCCTTCTGTGTTTCGCAGAGCGCTCCAAGCACGCTGAACCAGCCACAGAGCACGCTTTTTAAAATGGCAAAATACACAGTTTTCCCAAAAATAAGAGGGGGAAAAAAAAAAAAAAAATCAAACAGGGAAAACTGCCCCAGGAGCCCGAACTCAGGAATGGTGCTGAGCCCAAGCGCCCTGGCTCAAGCAGGAGCCACGCAGGACCATCCGTGCCAGCCGGACAGACAGCAGCCCTCCCAGCAGAGCTGCTGACCCCCCACCATGGAACACTGCCTCCGGATTGACCCCAAGGGAAAAACATCCCAAGCCACCAAGCTATCTCCTTCAGGAAATGGAGTTTCAGGAAGGGCTTCTATACAAGCACCAAAGTCCACGGCGTGCTCAGCCACGCGGGATCCCTGCCTTTATTCTGGGAACAATTATGCGCCGAAGAAAAAAATCTTTTCTTAAAAGCAGAGAATTGATGGCTGGGGAAGGAAAAGCAGATATCCCGAGGGAAAAACACCATCTTGGAAGGAACGATTTAGCTCTGTGGAATTTAACTTGACACACGCTCCAAAGTCTGATCTTTAGTTACGTACTGCGACAGGTCACGTGCCAAAACTGGGAGAGCACCAGGGTAATGTGGGTGTGCGACGGGACCCGCCGCCCCGTTGGCAGAGGACACCGGTGCACGCGGATCTCCAACGGTCTGCGTAGGTGGAAGGACCGACGGAAGAAAGGTGCAGAGTATGGATGGAAACCAAGATGTAGGGAGGTCCTCAGTAAACACCAGTCCGAGTTCTGCTCAGCGCTGTGGAACCACCACCCACATCCAAACCAGCGAAGCCCTCCTGGGCAAGGATCGCCAGCGGCACGTGGGCATCCCAGCGGCTCCGACGCAGCAACACGCGCCGGCATCGTCCCTCTCCGAACAACGGCAGCTCCTGCATCACCCGTTTGCACTGTTCGAACCGCCCCAGCCGATTCCCCATTCCGGACACAAACAAGGAGCACAAACAAGCTAGTGAGTTGTTGGGTCCCAGAAGAAACTCGTTGGCCTTCTGTAGCTGGGTGAAGTACAGGTTCAGGGGACGCAAACGCCGTGATGGAACACAGTTCGCAGAGTCGAGGTGAGGGGGAAGCAAGGCTGGAAACAGTCCGCACATCTGGATCCCCCAGAATTCAATCAATGGGCAGCAGCCAAACGAGACTATTTTCTCTGTCACCAGTAGTCAAACTATTTTTTTTTTCTGCCACGCAGCACTAACTGAGGCATTTGGATCTCATGGTTACCTCCTTTCTTTGATCTGCAAGACACTCTGTATTTATCTTCTACTGCTCTCACAGAAACAGATGGAAAATCACAGGAACCTAACCGAGGGAAACAGTGTCCCACTCCTGTTGTTTCCGAGGCTTCATATCAGGTTCTTCTCCACATGAAACCCACCTTGAGACGGGCATCTCCTCTGTACAGCGGCAAGAGCCACAACAGCGTGAGCTGCTCTACCACAGCGCTCAAAGATCAGAGCAGAAACCAGCATATATCAAAGAAAAACGTCTTTCTTGAGTCTCCTAAAACATAACATCTGCTCCAGAAATGAAGCATCAGAGAAGACAAAACTTAAACTATTCTCAAACTGGAGTCACAACAGCAGAAACTACTGGGAGCTACTTGCGAGAGAACCATACAAGTGGTAAGCACAACGCAGTGCAAGAACCTGATCTGCTCTAGGCATTTATTTTACAATAGATGGAACGAAGGAGACTCTCTGTGTTATCAAAAAATCCAAGAACAGCTTCCAGTTGTTGTCAAAGAAAAAGCCTACCTGTATATAAATGTCTATACCATCATCTGAAACTACCATACTGGAAAGAGGAAAAAAGGAAGAGGACAAGCGGGCTGGAGACGAGGCAGAACTGCAGAACCTTCGCGTGCAGCCTCCCCCACGCGCCACACTGTGTTTCAGACAAGATCATCAATACTAACCTCATTTCCTTTAGTCCTTCAGCCTCTATGACCTGCAGAATCTGTTTCGGGGTCATAGGAGCATCGGAGTAATTTTCCAGCACCTGAAAAGACAGAAAGATCACGTGTCATTACAGAATTTGCTTCTGCGTTCACAGAACTGCTCCATTAGCCGCGGCTCAGATCCAATAACCTGCCTCAAAACCTCATTCATCTGCAACAGACACACACGAAAAATTTCAGGCTACCTCAAGACTCGATCACGGTAAGCATCACGAAAGGCTCACTTTAATCTGGTCCCTAATTAACTGAAATCCAAACGTGAAGGAGGGAAAAAGCAGCAGAATTTGGCCTTGACCCCACAGCAGGAAGGCCAGTGGAAGCTTTACCACGGACTCCAACGTGTGTTAGACCCAGCTGCTGCCACAGAGAACCTTCAAAACCGTACAGTGGTCTGCAACCTCCAACGAGGTACAACGTTCTCCCTGCCATGGACCTTCCTACCTCTCTATAAGGCATCCAGTATTTTTCTGGCAACGAGAATATTTCTGTACAACTGTGCAATTCGATAGCGTACCTTCCTTGGATTACAGCATTCATTGCATCTTTGCTCCAGCTCAAGAAGGGTACCACGGGTAAGAGTCAGAATTCTTGCCAGAGGAGGACAGAATTCAGAAAAGGACAAGAAGAGTGAAGGATGTGGAAAAAAAATGATGGGTAGAGACACTAAAAAGATTTGGACTGTTTGCCTTTGAAAGAAAATGGGCAACATCAGATATTAAAAAGGCAGTAAAATCAGTAACAACTCATCCTTTCACACACTATCTGAAGAACAGAATTGCCACCTAGATGTGAAGAACTTAAAGGCCATTACTTTTTATTTAAAGCCTGTGGAACTTACTGCTCCAGAACATCTGGAAGCAAGAACTTCAAGGATTGAGAAAGAGAGCCGGGCATTTTCTGTGGATAAGAAGATTACCCACACAAACAGGAAACAATGCACAAAACCAAGCTGCAGTAGATGTACACCACGCTGTTTCTTCGGGAGCGGATCACCCTACAGCTGCCCCACACGTGCCGTCTCCTGCGCCTGCCGTTGAGCAGCCGGCGCTGCTCGCCGAACGCCGAACCCGGGAGAGGCCCGGAGCGAACCGACGGCGGTTCGGGCGCAGGACATGGCTGGGACCAGCCCAGAGGAGCAGCGACGGGGACTCGCTCGGGAGCTCTGTGATGGTCACCACGGTCTGAATTCCCCTGACGCAACGGCCACCGTGCCGCGCCATCCCCATCTCGCTCGCCGCCGCGCGGTACAGCAGTCAGCCTTTCGGTTTGACTCGTGTGGGACGGCGGTGGTGGAACCCAAACGCCCCGTTCTGTACCAGCACGTCCAGAACTGAGTCAGGGCAGCGGCGTGGCCGGGCGCCGAGCCCGCAGCCTGGATAAACAGGACGTTTGCTGTGCAGGGCACCGTTGGCATCTCCGCACCATCTCCAGCCTCCGCGGGTAAAGAAAAACCCAATCCACGTCACTGCACTTCTGCATTTCGACTGTATTTTGAGATAAAAGGCATTTCTTAGACCGTATCCCCCCCAACACGTATTTTTCAGATGCTCGAAGACCATAAGCATCGGTGGTGCCAATCTGGTGGGGGACGGAAATTTGAGAACTACGTAACCTGAGATAAAACACAAGGAGTTTCCAGGAAAGACCAAAGAAAGTGATAAGCCATATTCAGAGACCAAACAATTTTAATTCCGAGTCAACACAGCTCCGCCGCTTTCTCCTTCACTAAGGCAAACCCCTCCGCAGGTGAGGAGGTGCCCGTGCCTTCCTCGCGGAGCGCCGTCGCTCAGGGAGCGGGCAGCTGACGAGGGGAAACGCGTCGCCGCCGAGCGCCAGAGCCACAAAATGGAACTCGCCTGCTCTGAAAAAATAAGAAAATTCTTCCCAGCTTATAAAAATCTCTCTCGAACGGCAGGCACGGCAAGCAAAACACGCAGCCTAAACGCGAGCACGAACCAGCATTTACATAAAGATAAAAGCATCCGTGCTCAGGGGAACCATTTCCAATCAACAGCGGTATTAAGGGTACCGGCTGGTTAACGGCGGCCCTGGGGGGGGGAAGATCCTGCAGCTTTGGCCACCAAAGCCCCATCTCCAGCGCTGGCCCTCTGGCCCGACGCTGCCAGTGCCACGTCAACCCTCCACCAGGACCTACCACTCAAACAACGTCAACTTTTCCTTACCTCCCAAAATACATATATTTTTTTTTCCCTCCACTATTTATAATATTGATAGTGAAGAGTTCCTGTGTCCCTAATTACAGAAGTTTACATCACTTCCCCAATTACTCTCCTAGACATCTACCTCTGACAGCACTTGTTGAATAGTCTGATGGCTCCGGGTGTTGAAATGAATCTTTAAAGGCTCATTTTATGGAATGTGCATGGTATTAGCTCCGTGGGGGCAGCAACGCTGAAAAGCACTTTTGCCTGCGATTCTCAGAAACATCGAGAGGAATACAAAATACAATAGTGCACGTCAGAAAGGAAAATTAAAAGCATTTTGACAGGGAGCATGTGCAATACTGGTGTTAAATAAAGATCTATTTTTAGTGGATTTACAATCAGTCCTGCAAGCTGGAAGTGCAGCTACGCAACCGTAGGTCTCTCTAAGTGGATAACCTAGTACGAGATTGTTCTATTTCTGGTTCATCAATGGCTCCAAGATGCTGTTGAGGCTTAGACATCTCATGCACCACTGTGCCCGAGGTTCTGGCCAAAAACCAGGGGAGAGGAACCATGCAAAACATCCCTTTCCCATCACACAACGAGGCTGAGGAGGTGTATTAGGAGACAGCTGTAGAGTCACAGTCTCGTGTGCTGCTTTAGGCAGCCTACAAATACTGATTTTTTTCACCTGGTAGAGCTCAGGACATTTGAATTAGGTGAATTTGTGCCAGGTCACCCACCAGCAGTGACACGCCTGCCTCACGGAACCAGCACCACAAACAGAAACGCATAAGGAACTACTGTCCCACCAGATTCCCGCAGCGGGGTTCCACCATGGCTGCCTCGTGTCCTTTTCCAGTTTTTCAAGCAAAGTCGTATAGGTCTGAAATATTACAATTCATGCACAAAAGGCCGCGTAATTTGCTGGAAGACAGATGCTTGTCTGCTCAGGTTTCCTCCTGGCAAGCAGTAGGAAAACTCTGACGGCCAAACAAATCTCACTCCCAAGGAGCACCAGGACCTCACTCAAATACCCTCAGCGCCAGACACCGACTCACCCTTACCGTTCCTTCGGAACGTTGATGTGCTCCAACACACAACCTGGCCAGGCAAAACCAAAATAAACACCCACAAAGGAAAAATCAAGGGAACAAAACACCCTCAAGCCCTCAAAATCTCTTCCTATAGATGTCCATATGCTACACAGCCAGTACACCCTCATCCTCACAAGCCCAGCACCACCAACGAGGCTACGGGAAGGGAACGGCAGAGATCCGCCCACGCCGGCTGGATCATCCCTGGCTCCAGGTACCAGTTCAGCCCTGGCTCCAGGCACCACATCACCCCTGGCTCCATGTCCCGGCCCTCCTGTACCTGCGGATCTGCCCGGGCTGCGAAGAGGCAGCAGCAGACAAGGAGCTCATTCCAGGCAGCCACAGCAGCAACCGGGCACTCCGCAGTGAGTGACACCCCCAGCACCTCCGAGTGTGCCCCCCAAAAACACCTCCCGACAGTTGGCACTCACCATCCCAAAGATGCTGCAGTTTTTTTTGGTTTATACCTATAAATTGGGTTCAAGGCAGA